TTTAAACAGGAAGTCGAGAATCAATTGGGCAGGAACATTAAGATGCTTCGATCCGATCGAGGTGGTGAGTATCTTAGTTCAGAGTTCCTCGACTATCTAAAGGAATGTGGGATTGTCTCACAATTGACACCTCCCAGGACACCGCAGTTGAATGGTGTGGCTGAGAGGCGTAATCGAACCTTGTTGGACATGGTTCGTTCCATGATGAGTCGAGCTTCGCTACCAATCTCATTCTGGGGGTATGCCTTAGAGACTGCCGCCCATATCCTTAATCTAGTCCCTACAAAGAAAGTTGCCAAAACTCCTCACGAGATGTGGACTGGTAAAGTACCTAAACTAGACCACATCAAGATTTGGGGCTGCGAGGCTTTCGTGAGACGCGAGACTCATGATAAGCTCGAACCCCGAAGCGAGAGGTGTATTTTCATCGGCTACCCACAGCAATCCTTTGGTTACCTCTTCTACAGACCTAGTGACAATGTGGTCTTTGTAGCAAGAAGAGGAGTCTTTCGAGAAAGAGAGTTTATAAGCCAAGGAGACAGTGGGAGGCAAGTTGATCTTGAAGAAATTCAAGAGTCAAGTGGTGAAGGAACTTCAAACTCTAGCCCTCAACTTGAGGAGGAAACTCCTGTTGAGCCAATTGACGAATCTGTACCTCTGAGGCGTTCCACGAGAGTTAGGAGTGCACCTGAGCATTACTATGGATTCCATATTACTGCAGAAGGTGAGACACTTATTAGTGATGAGACACTAGTAAGTCAAGATGACCCTAACAGCTACGAGGAAGCCATGGCGGGCCCCGAGTCTGCTAAATGGAAAGAGGCTATGGATAGCGAGATACAATCCATGTATGACAATCAAGTTTGGAACTTGGTTGAGAATGTACCAGGTCGAAAGACTGTAGGGTGCAAATGGGTCTTCAAGAAGAAGACCGACATGGATGGTAAAGTACACACTTATAAGGCTAGACTGGTTGCAAAGGGCTTCTCTCAAATTCCTGGAGTGGATTATGATGAGACCTTTTCTCCGGTAGCCAAGATTAAGTCTATTCGGGTTCTGTTAGCCATAGCCGCATTTCATGACTATGAAATTTGGCAAATGGATGTCAAAACCGCTTTCCTTAATGGAAGTTGGCTGAAGATGTTTACATGAGTCAGCCAGAGGGTTTTGTCAGTAACGAGTACCCTAATAGAGTGTGTAAGCTTGAGAAATCCATTTATGGATTAAAGCAAGCACCTCGCAGATGGAATCTTTGCTTTGATGAAAAGGTCAAGGAATTTGGCTTTTCTAGGAGTGAAGATGAATCTTGTGTATATGTCAAGGCTAGTGGGAGTATAGTTAGCTTTTTGGTATTGTATGTGGATGACATACTACTCATAGGAAACGACATTCCAACCTGCAGGAAGTAAAGTCCTGGCTTGGAAAGTGTTTCGCTATGAAGGACCTTGGTGAAGCTGCCTATATTTTGGGGATAAGGATCTTGAGAGATCGGAGTAAAAGACTAATTGGACTTAGTCAAAGTACCTACTTGGAGAAGATTCTGAAGAGATTCAGAATGCAAGACTCCAAGAAAGGAGAGTTGCCCATCCAGAGTAGCGCCAAGCTGAGTAAGACACAAAGCCCTAGCACTGAGGCTGAGATAGCAGAAATGAGTCGAATACCTTATGCTTCGGCTGTAGGTTCGATCATGTATGCTATGACGTGTACTCGACCTGATGTAGCCTTTGCCTTGAGCATGGTTAGCAGGTTTCAGGGGAACCCTGGCAAGGCACACTGGATTGCGGTAAAGAATATTCTCAAGTACCTACGAAGGACTAAGGACTGGGTCCTTACCCTCGGTGGGAGTGATGACTTGAGAGTTGTAGGGTATAGTGATGCTAGCTTCCAGACTGATAGGGATAACTTCCGCTCTCAGTCGGGCTGGGTCTTTACCCTAAATGGAGGAGCAATTTCTTGGAAGAGTTCCAAGCAAGAGACAGTGGCAGATTCTACTTGTGAATCAGAGTATATTGCAGCTAGCGAGCGGCAAAGGAGGCGTTATGGCTGAGGAACTTCATTGGAGACCTTGGAGTTGTACCAGCTATTAAAGAGCCAATGGAAATTTTCTGTGATAGTGAAAGTGCTGTTGCCTTAGCCAAGGAACCAAGGGATCACGGGAGATCCAGACACATCGACAGAAAATACCATTTCATCAGACATCGGATCGAAGAAGGACTCCTCGTGGCAAAGAGGGTATCATCGATGAGAACCCATCAGATCCCCTCACGAAGGGACTGACTCGGGTTAAGCATCTCCAGCATGCTCGGAGCATAGGGCTGAAGGATGATATTAGATTTAGTAGTTAGATAACCTCGAAATTTGTAAAGTGTAATTGACATTTGATGATGAATAAAAGTGTTTTATTTATGAGTAAAGTGTTGCTATCTCTTGTCGATCGTTTACTATATTTCTTTTGCATGTTTTGACTTCCAGAATAATTTTGTTTGGTATAACATATTATTCAAACCTCCACAGTCGGTCATATGTCGGAAGTAGGTATGAATCAAGACTGTCATGTTTGATTGTAGAGGTCTGGGACAAGGCTACAACAATCATGAGTGCTCATAAGTTCTGAGCATTGGACTCAACCCACGCTCACTGGAATCACTTCATGGAATTCTATCTCGAGTGATCGTGAGACGGTAATATCATATAAGTCTTTAAACCTAGAGATATGATTTGTTACTTACAAGTTGGTTATGCATTGATTGTACGAAAAACGCATTGGTAACTCGATGTTATAAAATCGTGCTCTTATGTGTAATTCAATGAGTAGTAGAACAAACATATGAGTCGAAGTTTATCTGTTCCTTCTTGGATTAGAAGCTGATATCTGGGCCCCTCGATGATTTTGTTTTGACCTATGTACCGGGCCCGGTCAGAACTAAATTGATGTGTTCAATAAAGTTCTTTGTCAAACAAATCGGAAATCGGGAAACAAATGTTGGACAATAAGTAAGACATTGTTCCATGTATTTGTCCGACTGATATCTAGAACAGAGGATTATATGATCACTTATCTTAAATGGCGTACCATCATCTTCTCAAGTTTCGAGAAACCTTGTAAAGAGCTACGATTGCCGATCGGTTCCTGAAGTCATACTTGCAGTAATAGTTACTAGACTTATCCAAGTGGGAGACTGTTGGATAAGGTGTCTAAGTCCATAACTATTTCTGGTATGTACTTGACCCGACCCGGCATGGTCCATTTGGGTTGCATGGCACCATGCAATTGGATAAACTAAATGAGAGAAATAACGCTTGGAGATTATTAATATATTATAAGTTCTAATATATTAATAATATTATTTGATTAGTTTGATCAAGAATTAATTTAGAATTAATTAAGTGATCAAAAGATAACTAATTAAATATATGGGTTGATTAAGTAAATCATCCATATCTTGTATAGTGGGCTAAAAGGCTCCATGGATCATCAAGTTGGGTTCCACCCATAGGATGCTCCATGGATGCTCCATGGGAGTTACAAACCCATGGGTCATGGAAATGAAGAGTCATGACACATTAGGGTTTAACCCTAGATGTGTCAACACTATATAAGTAATATGATCTCCTCCCAAATCGGTTACACTAAGATATAGAGGGCTTGGCCGATTTTTGTGAAGTGAGTATTCTCTCATAAGTTCTTCCAAGAGCATTTGGTGTTGTGTGAAGCATTTGAGGCATCACACTTGGGGTGCTAGGCTCACAAGGTTTCAAGGAACACAAGCAACAACAAGGTAAGTTATTCTATCTATACTTTATGTTAAAATTGTTCCCCATGTATGCTAGATAGGAATATAACCTTGGAAATCAACTTTGCATGACAAATTAGACAAACATAGATCCAAGGTTATTAGGGTTGCATGTACACTTAGGAAGTGTTAGAATGCTCAAAACCCATCAAGTAGAATATCCAATAAAAAAACACTTCAGCTTCAAAAAGTTTGAAAAACATCACGCGTTCTCGAATCATAATACACTGAAATTCTTCAAAGAATAACCTGCTAAAAATGTGAAGCATCCATAAAATGAAGTCCGGATAAAAATAATGTGAGTCCAAAGACATGGTCCAGCAATGTCAAAAATTTGATCCAAGGATCAAAAATAAGTGCCACGTCACATCGCCAAAATAATCTTCATCTTCAAAATATCATAAATCCAAACTTGTGGAACCATAAGATCTGAACCGGATGCGAACACAAAATCATCTTGTTGTAGAGTCCGAATAATAAATAATATGAATCGGAAAACATCGAGTAATGCCAAAAATTTGATCCGTAAAGACCAAAAATAAGTGCCACATCGCATCACTAAATATATAATCGTCTTCAGAAGTCTTCAAAAATCCAAACTCAAACAATAATAACCTAATCCGAATGATATTCTCTCCCTATCTTTGATAACCAATGACCGGATATCAAAAATCAACAAATATAGGATAGAGAGTGTCAGATACCAAGAGCTATGAGAGCTCTCCCTAGATGTATGAAGGGTCTCAATAAGAAACAAGAAAGAGTAAAAGAGATACTCTTACGGTAATGAGGAGGAGGGTGACATAGTTGCTGAAGCTGTGCTGAGAAAATAATCTGTTGTGCTAAAAATATATATCTAAATATCCAAACTGCGGTGCCGGAACACTTGAAGTGGTCTTCAATAGAGAATAAGGTCCACATGCTCAAGATACATGATTCGTAAAGTGAAGAATGTCATAAAGTGAAGAATCTCATAAAGTGAAGAATGTGAAACAAATTTGTTGATTAATCGCCGTTGCGGGGAAAACATCACAAAGAATGATATGAAGTCCGACTGCGGTAGGAGTATTCTTCTAAATTACCGGCATGCAATGAACCAATGTAACAATCCAAGGTTTGGTTGTGGCAAAAATTGGTGTTAAAAAAAATGGCTAAATAAAAAAAAATTGGTGTTAAAAAATACTTGGCTGAATAAAAAAAATGTCGTTAAAAAAGGGTTGAAGAAATTGGATGAGAAGGGGTGAGGCGGATGAGGTTGTTGATGAGTTGTGGATGGAGACTAGGCTGACTGTGGATGCGAGTTGTGGTGCAAAGGGAGCCATATGCGGTGCGAGCTACAGTCCGAGACTGCGGGTAGCAGTTATGGTCTGAAGTGTTGAAAGAGGGATGCAGTCGCGGCTCATTAGCAGGATCCAAGGTTCCTCAGCAGATTTGAGGTTGGGGAGTCCGGAACTCGGTCCAGAGGAAAAAAGAGGGCATGGATGGTTTTTTTTAACATTAGAGGCTGCGGTTCATTAGTAGACCTAAATACACCAACAATACAAATAAAGGGAAATAAATAACCTAACTACCACTCATTATTTGTAGAGCATTTCCATGCTCCAACATTTTGGAGGGTGGTAGCAGGTGGAATAAGATTGTAGTTTTGGTGGTGTAAGGTAGCAAAGATGGTGATGTTGAAGGAGCTTTGGGTGGTGATGAATGTAGATTTTTGGAGTAGATCTATCTGGATAGCTAATTCTCTCTCGCATATCTTTGAGGTTTCCCATGGTCAAAATCGTCCACGAATATTCCTAGATATAGGTAAGACTCTAAAGAATTTGTGTAGAAAATCTCCCCAGTAGTATCTTGGTTGTGTTGTGCCCAGTTCTCTTCGTTTCTGAATTTAAGATTCTTAACTCGAGAATAGAAATCTCTCTAGACAGCCAATCTCTCTCACGTATCTTTGGGGGTTTCCTTTGTCAAAATCATCCATGAACTTTGTAGACGTAGGTAAGGTTCTAGCAAATTTGTGGTGAAAATCTCCCTAGTTGTATCTTGGCTGTGTTGTGCCCAACTTTTTTGTTTTCAGACTTGTAGAGTCTTATCTCAAAAGTAGCAAGGTGGTGATGGTTTATGTGATTTAAAAAGGGTTTTTGGAGGAGGTTTACGGAGTGTATTTGGAGAGAATTTTGAGGCTGGTTTGATGAATCGTTAAACGAGTAATGAGAATCAAATCAGAGTGAAAACGATATGAAAGAACACGAGGTCTAAATATGATCTTGTTTCAACTCTATTATACTTTCATAATTTTACAGAGAGTACAAAGACAAGTTCTGTAAAGACTTATTATGTAACTCTAAGTAAAGTTTCTATTTATAGGGAACAAGAAAGTATACAAAAAGTACTAAGACATTTAACTTAAGCTTCGAACATTTAGACGCCTTAGTAAATATATTACAGAATACGCGAAGGGTAATGTCTTCGACTCATTACAACATGTCTTTGACTCTTACAATCTCCCCCTTTGGATTGAAGTCGACTTCTCAGGTTGTAAGAATTTGAGTGGCATACATCATAACCCTTCGAATTTCCATGTACCAAGATATAATCTTCTTCAGCTCCTTCTTATCTCCTTCATTATTTTTCTTACAATTGTTCATACGAACAATGAAGTTTGTATGTTGGGAAATTGTATATCTTTCAATTTTAGCGACTTGGAACAAATATCTCTTCGTCTTTCCAGCTTTATCTTTACCAGAAAATACCATACCGAAAGGCTTTAAACATATTTCCCCATCAACATATTTCTTTAATTATTATTGAGACTTGGACGGCTCCATGGGTACTTTGACTTCAAGCCCTTTCACTGTTGCTAGATCCACATCTATAAGTGCTAAACACTCGTAATAATCCTCCATGTGAGCCACTCCCACTCGAAAAACATCAGGTTCAGTTTCTCGAAGGTATGAGGATTTATTTATCTTTTAGGAGAAGTGCCATTTGTATAAGGTCATACAGATTCATGAGAAGAAATATGCGACTGTGAAATCACAAGTTTGACCATTCGCCCTTGCAACAATGAATCTCACATTCTGCATCATATCTTCGAATAATACGTCCATCGTGATGCTTATAACCTTCTTGATTTTTATTAGTGACCAAATTTCCTCTGGAGCCTTTGTAAGAACTGCATGAAAACGAAGCTTCATGTAATTTTAATCATTTTCGCTTTTGAATTTATCAGATATTTTGAATTGAGGCATGAGGAACATCATCTCATTAATCGGGAAGTCAAGTTGACTCATGTCTGCATTAGAAACCCCATAACTCTGTTTTGGTTTCTTTTCGAATGCATACATGTGATTGAATGCCACCTACATTTCAATCGTTTCGTAGTTATAATGTTTAGCAGGATCTCCTTTGTTCAAAACAGGAGGATCATTCGCCCTTTGAACTACTTGTAGCTTTTTCAATCTCAGCCTCTACCTCTGCTTTCTTCTTTTCTTTTGATTTTTCAACAGCAATCATGTTGCCTTTGTCTGTTGATTTATCTGTAGCATCTTTTGTTTTCGAAGCCTCACCTTGGCCAGTAGATGATCCAATTACAATTCCCTTCGTGATCGACTTTGTGATTGGCATGGACGTTACAACAGTTGAAGTAACTGGTCCAACACTCGAAATTATTGGCTTGGTCGTCAGAATTTTCGAGGGATAAACTTTACCCACAAATTTAGCTTCTCCATGTGAAGCATCACTTCCAACCTTCGCATGAGAATCTTCTCCAACTCTCTTTTCTCCCCCTTGCACCCATGTTCGAACAAGAGGGGCACCGATTGGCAAAAGACTCAAAATGGTTGACAGAGGAGCTAGTTGTTTATGGAGAATGGCTTCGAACTGTGTAAACTTTTGTGAGAGAAACTCTGGAGTAATTATTAAAGATGTCGCAGGATTGAGCACCCACTCCTTCAAATAGTTAAGCATCGAAATAACCTCCCCAAACTGTTGATTGTCAATTGTAGAAAGTTGAGTAATTTGAGGACTCAAGGTTTCGTACAACGTAACATATTTCGTGACAGCATCACAAATAATATCAACTTCCTTATATAGAGTGGCATAATCATTCTGAACAACTGCGACTTCACGAACCATGTCATCACGAAGCTCTTGAAGCTTCAAAATAACATCTTCTCTCAACTTCTTCACATCCATAATGAACAGTGTGTGTCGTTCCTTCTGAACATTCGTTAACTCTTTCACAGCTCCCACATATTTTAAATTGAAAGAATTTATCCTCAACTCTGCTGTCTGATCAGTATGATCTACCTTCTCTAGGATTCTCGATTCTGAGTCTCTGATCATACCAGACACCCTGCTCACCATTCATGCCTCAAAACCCTTCATTAGTCCATCAATTTCGAAACTGGACACTGAACTTCCTCCCCCCATGTCTGCTTGAGACTGAATAATGGAATTCAACTTTTTATTCAGAATTTTGAACTATTTCATGGACATGAGCATATGGTTAGGGAAATCCTCTTCTTCTTCATCAAAAACCATATCTTTAAAAGTACCACCAAAACCACCTTCTTCTTTATCATATTCATCATTCGCTTTGGGCGGATCAGTGGATTGAGATGAAAAAATGGATGTAAAGGGTTGGTCGATGGTGTTTTGAAAGGTTGGTGAATCAATGGGGGAAGTAGTAGGGATGATAAATGAAGGTAAAGATACAAAGGTACTAGTAATGGGTTCGAAAGAAACAGTAACTGGAGTACCTTGTGGAGGTTGAGTAATTTCCTTCGATAGATCTCCTTCACCCATGATGACATATACACCCGTATCAGATATGTTTGCACTAATGTCTGAAGTTCGTACCTCCTCGTGAGATAATTTGGCAGATGAAACTTTGGGTTGTATGACAATAGTATTCGCACGAGAAGTAGACTCTATAATAGGTTCGGGTTCGGGAGTTTCAGGCATGTCTTCTTCTTTAGATGATTTCCTTGGAATTACTGACTGCCTCTTCTTTGTCTTCTTCTTTTTCTTCGAAATCTTCTTGGCCATATCCTCAGCCCTTCATTTCTTTGAGTGAGGAGAAACTGGAGCTAGGACTTCGTGCATAATTACCCCTTGATGAGTAATATGAGGCTTGCGAACCACATTCGAAGTAGGATAACCACCATAATTAAGCTTTAATCTTTGAAAAACTCCAGTCTTTGAAGGAATTGTAACTGTAGTTTGTTATGAAACAACAGCTTCAACACGCTTTACCACAACTTTCGAAACTAATTCATCTGGCTTCATTGTTTTCTTGGGAGACTTTGATTGCTTTGATTCTTGAACAGTTGGATCAGGATTGAGAATCACAACTTTCTTTTTTGTTTTAGATTTCTTCGAAGGACCTGCATCGTCTTTTCGTTAACAGCTTCCAAGTTTCAACTTTGGGATCAATTGTGGTTATATAGTCGATAAGCACAACATTCAACCGATCAAATCTTTTAAACATTGCATCAGGAATGCGGGTAACATGGGAAATATTGCTTCATCATCAGACATGTCTTTAGGAAAATTATACTTCAAGAAATCTGTAGTTTCCTCCTCAGCATTCACCTGAATTCCCTCTTTGTCATAGAAATATCTGAGGATAAGACTCCAATATCATGCACATGAAATACCTTGCACATTATTAATGTTTTTGATTGGAATGTCATAATAAACCCCTGCAACCATGGTATGAACCTCCATTCTTCCTTTGTCAAGACCCACATTACGACCAGTTAAGCAGCGTAAAAAGATTCCAAAAAGAAAGTTCCAGACTGTCGGAAGACCGGATTTCTTAAAATCACTTATCTTAGTGAGTGGGGTTAATGACCCATCTCATTAAACATATGATTCTCTTGAATAGTCGAAAGATCAATGAATGGTTGAGAGTTTGGAATATCCAAAATTTGACAAAACAACTTCTCTGTCAATCATACTTTCTTATCATTCACCAAGTTGAATGTGATGGCATCTAGGGATTTAGAGTATGTGGCAGTAGAACCTGCTTGTGAAAGCCAGGATAAAGGTACTGCAAAAGAATTAAACATAATTGTCGAAAGAACACAGCTCTTCAGGGCAACCATCAACTTCTTTAATCCTTCAGGGTAAAGAGATTCATCCGCTTCTACTTGATAGCCTGTTCCTTGAATCTTCATGATTGGTAAAGATGTAACATCTTCTGTAGTTTGGGATGGTGCATCAACATTAGTTTGATCAGTCATGACTAGAGTTGTAAAATCGTATGAGGAACAATTGGATTTTTCAGAGAGAATTTGGGAAATTTTCTTCTGAAAGCGTAAATTGATAACAAACCCTTGAATTCCTTATTATATGTAACCCTGATATTTGAATTTGAAGTGGGATGTGCATTTGATGAAATCCGACATGGCACCTTCAAAGTCGCACCAGTGTGCCGATAAAGTAGGCACGCGTGAAAAAGTAACTGTCAATTCTCCTTGAAAACTGGATAGAATACAAGACGTCACTTCTCACAGCCTGTTTATTTCCCCAATGTAATATGAACCGTAAGAAAACTTCGGATGGAGGTTAGACTCTTTCACTTTTGGGATTTAAAGCGAAGTCATGTGCCAGACTTTCGAAATCATCAACCTGAGTTGGTATTACTCAAAACCTCAAGGATTTCGTGAGTGCAGTGTGCCATAGAAAAAAGAAAAGAATCAAATAAAAATAAACTTTGGATTTGTGATGTCAAATGTATTTAGACATGAAAGCAGTTAAACTTCGGGCAAAAGTTTCTTCGTTAATTATCAAGAGAAATAATCAACTGCTTGTGTGTTTTCCCGTGAATTACAATCGAAAACTTATTGGGAAGTTTCGAAGGGCTTCTTTTTCAAGGCTTCATGGATGGGTACACGACTTCTGTAACAGCCCGAAATCCAGGTATCCTTCTATTTGGCCCTGCATCTTTGATATGATGTCATTTTAGGGCTTTCATGTTAGGCGAGTACGCTGGGCGTACAAGGTGTACGCTGTGCGTACTCGCGCGCTTCAATTGGACGCGTTCACCCTCACGTATGTTGGGCGTAACCGGTCTAGACCTAAAAACCCTAATTCATTTGGAGGGCTATAAAAGGAATGTGTGGCTGGACTTCTCAGCCACCATCCCTCAGAGAGAAACCCTAAAGAGAGTGTGCATTCGTTCTTAGGCCATTTTGTGAGTATTCTAAGCTTGGTGGTGCCATTCCAAGGTAGCAAAGGAGAAGAAGAGCTCATTGGGAAGGCTAGAAGTGGTGTTCAAGTGTGGATCTAAGCTTTGCAAGGGTTGAAGCTTCATTATCAGGTAAAAAGTTCGGATCTTGTCATTTGGTTCATGTTATATGCTTCAAGTACCATTTTATAGGGTTTTAGTCCCAAAGGTGGAGGCTTTTTGTGCAAATGGCCTCCATAAGCTTAGATCCATCATATTTCTGGTCTATTAGAGTTGTACACTCATAAAAATGATATCTTGGACGTGAATGTCGCAGCATGCATGAGATCTAGGTCTTTGAGTTGGAATAAAATGATGTTAAGAAGTGTTGTAGCCTTTACAGCCATGCCAAGGCTTAAAGGTCTCGACTTTAAGGGTATAGACGTATAAACAGAGTCGGATCTAGAAGGTGGAGTAATGGCTTAACCGATTAAGACCATAAATGATGTATGTTGAAGTATGATGGTTACGCTGGGCGTAACTCCCAGTATGCGCAGCATAATGGGTGGAAACCCCGAGCCTTAGGTTGGCAATGTACGCCCCACGTACATCAAGCAGTACGCCCCGCGTACTAAAAAGGGTTGACTTTCGTTGACTTTTAGGGTTTTGGTCAACATGAAGACTTTGGGTCAAGGACGGGTAAAATGGTCTTTTACCCTCTGAGGAATGATGATAAGGGGTAAAGTTTAGTTGTGGAAGTCTTTAATTATTGAAATGATATTTTTATGATTAGGCGAGGTAGAGTCGTCGTTGGGATTTGGAGATAGCAAGTACGCGAGATCTTAGACTTTCCACAAGGTGAGTTTTCTCACTATACTGTACCCGAAAGGGTTTTTATTGTGTGACTGGAAGGTCGGATATGTTATGAGTTATATGCATTGTATGTGATAAGTTATTCGTTTATATGTGCCATGTATGATATGCTTGACATGGGCCGGAAGGCATTATGTTATGGGCCAGAAGGCGTATATGTTATGGGCCGGAAGGTATTGTGATGTGAACCGTAAGGTTGACGTAGGTAGGACCGGATGGTTTACCTAGACGGGACGGAAGTCCCCTGAGACACATGGACCGGAAGGTCAGGGACTAGAAAGGCGTATGTGCGTAAGTTGTATTTTGGGGAACTCACTAAGCATTTCTGCTTACAATTGTTGTGTTATGTGTTTCAGGTACTAGCAAGGACCGTGGGAAGGCGCCGACGTGATTGTACACACTGTCGGAGAAACTGTTTTTATGATCATGGGATGTATTTGTTTATGATAACATTGTTCACGTTTGAATTTGGAATATTAAACGATGGTTACAAGTTGGTATCAGAGCCTTGGTTTGAGAGATTCGGATACACCTTCGGGCGTAACTGGACTCAAACCGGGTATTTGAGGATTTTTTTTAAAAAGCAATAAAAATTTGATAAGAGATTTCGAAACAACCAAAGGAGAAGCAGTGTGTACGGTCAGCCAGCGCCCGAACGGTAAAATCCCCAAAATACTCTTACAATATGTGTTATGAGATATGTTGATATGATACACATGCTAGTAGACTAGGTATTCATATTAGGACTATGGTGGCCTGATTTGTGATGCCTTAGTCTAGGGGAAACTGCTGCTATGAGATGCTTTGAGAGCGTGTGGGTAGCCAGTGATAGCAAGAATAGAGTACTCATGATCCGGGGTTCGGGGAGGAGGACTTGGAGTGAATGCTGATGCGGTGTATTTGGTAGTATTGGGCCCGTACTACCGAAGACATCGGGTTAGTAGGCAATCCAAGTAAGAATCCTTGGGTATCGGAGACCGAATAGGGTTGCGTTATCGAGTGCGATTATGCTTGATAGAGTCTCTGATATTTTTATGTTGTATTTCCGAGGCATCATGGTTGGACCACGCCACAAACCTGATACGAACGGTGTGAGTGACGAGGAGCTTCGTCAGATGATTCACGAGGAGGTGGCTGTGGCAATCTGGGCCGAGATTCCGGAGATGTTTGGGTCCATTAAGATCACACTGATGGAGACTTTTGATGAGCGGAACGCTGCGGTGACTGAGGCCGCAACCACTGCAGCTACCACAGCTGTGGCCGCTGCCAGACCACAAGGAGGTGACTCATTGCTGTTCCGGGAGTTCAGCAACACGAAGCCACCCGAGTTTGACGAGACGCAGGATCCGATCGCTGCGATGAGATGGGTTGCTAATATTGAGGGATGCTTCTACACTTGTTCATGTTCGGAGCATCTGAGGGTACAGTTCGCTTTGAACCAGCTCCGCCTAGGAGCAAAGGATTGGTGGAAGTTCGTGACGGCAAACTTCACTCTTGCGGAGGTTTCAACCATGACTTGGGAGAGATTTACTGCTATGTTCAGAGACAAGTATGTTCCCCCGGTGGAGAGGGAACGGTTAGTTAAGGAGTTCTTGACCCTCAAGCAGGGTAATGATTATGTTACGGTGATCACTCAGAAGTTTCATGAGAGGGTGATGTTTTGCCCTGAGCAGGTGTCCACTGAGCAGGCTAGGATGAGCCGATATTTGGGTGTACTGAGGAGGGATATTCGGGAGTTCGTATCAAACTCTTCATACCAAACATTTGCTGAGCTCCAGGAAAATGCAAGGAAGAGAGAGATCGAGTTGAAGACCCAGGCCAGGGAGGAGGCCGAGTCTCAGCGGGTGGATCGGCGGCCGGCTCATTCCCAACCGGCAGCCAAGAGGACCAAGGCCGCTGATTCGAGGATGGGAGGTCAGAAGGGCCGCACTTGCGGAAAGTGCGGCAAGGGTCATGAGGGGGCATGTCGATCAGGTGCTTGCTACAAGTGTGGCAAGGAGGG